TATATATATATATGTAAATTATGTTTGCAATAGATCTCTTTTTTTTGTTGTTTTTTTTTTAATCGTGGTATTTTTCTTGTCTCTTTGTATAGTTAATAATATATACTAGCCTAAATGAGTACTTGATAATGGTGAAATTATTATAAAACTATGCGAATCGCGTGAATCCTTCATGCGAAAATCCTTCAGTTTCTTTCTCTCTCTCGTTTTTAATATTTACAATTAGTGAAAGTTTACGTATCTGCATATTAAACTATTCATCTCTATGTTGTTTTTTATTTATAAAAATGTAAGATAAAATAAGACGTTTAGTCACGTTATTATATCAGCTGGCGTGAATAATAATCTTGTGAGATAATTTTGAATTAATTTATTATATATTTTTTTTTTTTAATACCTGATCGAATACTTTTTAAAAATATTTATGATAGTGGTAATATATTTTCTGTTGAACAAAAGTGTCGTAAAAAATAAAAAAAAAAAGAAGAAATTAATAAAACTTTGGAATTATTATTTACAAGTAAGAAAGTTTAATAGAGTTATTTCGAAAATTAATATATCTTAAAAGAAACATATTTATTTTTAGTACGTATAAATTAATTTAAATACAATCTACACTTTCTCTCGAAGTAATATTGATTTTTAATATCAAAGAGAAACGAAAAATATTAAATAATTATCGTTTAAAAGAAAAAAAAAAGAAGATTTATACTTTAATATAAATTATTAATTACGTCGAACAGCAAGAAAAATCATAGTAATAATAATAATAATAATAATAATAATAATAATAAAACCAATTAAGACAACAGAAAATAAATCACATATAAATTAGTTTCAAAAAAAAAGAAACGAAAGATCAATGATTCTCATTAAGAATAATATTTTTCTCTAGCGTGAAATAACAATTTAATTAACAAATACACAATCTAATATACATTATTTTTTCTATATATCATTATATTTTTTATTTTATTTCAATTTACATGAATATCAATCGAGAGAACCTCTTTGCCTTTACAAATGATTCGTATATTTAACTTCGTGTATTTGTAATAAATTGATAATGATAAGAAAAAGATAAAGAAAGCAAAAAAAAAACAGAACAGAACAGAACAGAAAAGAACAGAAAAGAACAGAAAAGAAAGGAAGTAATGGGTCTTAAATCGTCTTAAATCGAGCCAACTGACGAGCGTCAGCCGGAGTTAATTGGAAACGAAATGAAACGAAACTAAACGGCAATGGCATACAACGTATAAACGAAAACGTCGCGACACGTAGGAATTGACATAAGTGATGATAATGGGGAGAAGTCCGGGAGTGCGTCGTACATCGAACCTACTATCTCGCAGTTTGTTCGTTTCGTTCGTTCATTTCGTTTCATTTCGTTTCGTTTCGTTTAGTTTAGTTTAGTTTCGTTCATTCGTCGTCCTCTTTCTTTCTTCTTCAAAAACGATCTCTCTGCGTGCTCGCTATACGTTTCAAAGGCATTCTTTTGCGAATCATCGAGCGTAAAGTATTTTCCTCTTTCTTTCTTTCTCTCTCTCTCTCTTTCTCACACACACATATATATGAACACGTGTGGGCAAATAGGTTTCGTGATATATGCTTTTTTTTTTTTTTCCACGCATGAGTAAACGTATTAAAAGAAAATAAGGAAAGTTTTCGTTGGATTATATTTTTTTTTCTTTTTTCTTTTTTTTTTTGGTCTTAATTATTAAAAGAAAGCTAATTAAAAGAGTCCCAAATTTATGGCAACATATCTTTCTTTTTTTAATTCCAATTCTCTCTTTTGATTTTTATTATTATACATTTGTTTTTTAATTTGTGGTATAACTTTATTGAGGTAAAAACTGCGTGTAATATTTATAAATAGCTGTGTTAGCAATAATACTTATTTTTCTTCATATTTTTGTATTTTGAGTTTTTTATTTTGTTTGGTCAGTAAAAAAAGTGGCACGCCAATACTTAATCAAAAGTGAGGATTAATTTGGACAAAAAAATACGTATTATTGTTCATTATCAAATATTTTTGTTCCTATTATTATTCGAATACGTGAAAATAATTTCTATTTAGACTATACGCTGGTACAATATCCGGAATTACAAACACACATATACCAGAAAAGAAATAATAATTTCTCCCCCATTCACACAAACGTGACTTTATCCAGGACACCTTATGAGAGATACACGCTTGCAATTATCTTAGAAAATAACATTCTCAAGATATATTTTACGAACACATTAAACTAACTAACACAACTATAAATTATAATAAATTCAATATCGCATATAATAACAAGATAAAATACAACATATGTCGTATATATATATATATAGTGATACCCTGATACACTATACATAATATCATTAATCAATTAGCTGTGATTGACGACGAGTATACTCGTCATTGTTTAGGAAACAACACAGTTTTATTATTTTTTTTTTTTCTTTAAAGAGGTCACCACAAGTAAACTGGTTAATTTACTAAAAATCTGTCGAATAGTGGACAAGTTGATGCAACACAAATATAAATGACTAAAATGGTACACCATCATTTTGTAGATGTTAATAATAATAATTAGTAAGTAAATACGGACAATATGAACTACTTGACACTTATATATTACGACATTAAACTTGGTAAAAAAAAAAGAAAAAGAAAAAGAAACCCAACGAAATAAAAATTCTCAAACAATAATAATCACAATAATAATGATAATAATAATAATAATAATAAATTTCTTATTCAAATATAATTCAAAGAACTTCTCGACCAATAGAATGAATTGCGAGCATAGCATAAATTCTTCTTTCCAACCGAGCCAGCAGGCAGGCAAACTCGATTGAGGAGAATGTAAAAAAAAAGGGCACTTTCGCGCTGAGTCACATCCTAACCTCGAAATCCTCCTCCTCTTCCTTCTCCTCCTCCTCCTCCTCCTCCTCCTCCTCTTCACGGTAATAAAAAGAAAAGAAAAAGAATATTTTGAAGTTTCGAGTGTGTGATGGTGATGATGGTAGAGGTAGTGGTGCTGTTTCAACGCTGGTTACCTGAAAACGTCACTCTGCTTTTCCCTCTCTTTTTTCTTTTTTTTTTCTTCGTTACCTTCGAAATTATCATCCGCGTTCGATAAAGACGTTCTCGTTCGAAATATTTCTTTGACCATATTGGCTTATCTTTTCACGACATTATCGTTAACGGTTTTATGTAAATTATAACGTTACATTTTATTTATTTATTTTTTTCTTTTTCTTTTTCGTTATATAAGAAAAACAAATAATATGAAAGTTCAAATTCGTTTGTTGAACTTTGATTTTTAAAATAATGCGTCTTTTTTTAGGATACCTAGATTAATAAAGAAAAAAGAAAGTAATGAAAAAATCAATGTATAATTGAAGATTTATTCAAAAATTCATAATTACTTTTTTTCTAACTTCATTCATTTTTATATGATATAATGCATAAGAAAAATTGATAAAAACTGGGGTAAGAAATGAAGGTCTCGTTAAAATCCAAGGATGACTCTATTAAGATATATACAATATAATATAATACAAAACAATTCTCTAATTTCGAATGAAACAAAATTGTATAATAACAACATATTCTCTAACATTTAACGTTAATAATTATTTGTGAATACAAACATTTTGATGTTCTTTTTACGTATGCGTATTGAATAATACCGCTTTTTGTATAATAAAATAAAACATAATAAAAAAATAAATATAATATCCGATTCTCGTCAAATCGATGAGTATAAAAATTGAAAAAAAAAAAAAAAAAATAACTGTAAGAAGTTATACTTCTTTATCGTACCAAAACGAATATAACCTCAAAAATAACTTCAATTTGCGCGCGCATCCTAAATATCGACAACTTCGTGGTGTTGATTTTTCGATCGCATCTAACTTCACTTTTCAAAACGCGCAAAAAAGAAGTATAACTTCAAAAAAAAAAAAAAAAAAAGAGAGAAACGATAGAAAAAAAAAAGGGGAAAAAAATTATATAATAAATATTTCGTAATCGTATTCGCAGATGGATTCGCCGGAGCGTGAAATCTATCGTGATCCTGATGTTGTAAGGGCCGATGATAGGGTAGACGAAGTAGTACACACAGACACAGCGAGAAAGATGCTCTCAATCTTCCGGCAGATGGAAGAGAATGCGTGCAAAGAGGAATTGCCGGAGGGCCCGAAACCTTTGAAACGTTTCACGCCACCACCTGAGGACAAGTTTGCGAAACAAACCGCCTCTGATTCCGAGGAAGAAGAAGAAGAGGAAGGTGAGGAATCCGAAGCTGACGAAAGCGCCGAAGAAAGAGATCCGAATTATGTCAGAGCCTCCGATAAGGTCAGTTGCAATTTTTTTTCTTTTGTTATATTACATTTTCTATATTATAATATAAAATATGTTATATATAACAAATATTGAATACATATTATATATTTTGAATTTTATATATGTATATATAATTTTATTTAATATATTATAAATAATATATTATTATTTATATTTAATTATATATCTACCTTATATATGTATAATTATACAGTGTGTAACAAAAAAAATTGATATTATCAATAGAAAATAAATTAAAATGTGAAATTTGTCAAGTTCAAACAAATATTAAATTAATGATAATCTTTAGGAAAGAAAAAAATAAAATTAACAATTCGATTATTTCGGTTTTGTACAGGTTGAAGATGAATTTTTAAAACAGGCACAAAATGCCGCGCGCGCCAAAACATTGCGCGCGAAATTCGAACACTGGGAAGAGACGGATGGTAAACCGAGTAATCATAACATCGCCGAAATGGAAATTGCTCAAAGTACGGGCGATCAATCAAGCATAGAATCTGCGAGCAGTCTCAGAGCTCGTTTTGAGTCACTCGGATCACAGACCAATGAGTCTCCACGTGCGCCAAAAATTAAAGTTAATCGATTTGTGGTGAGTACATTTTAACAAATTCTCTTCTTCGTTTTTATTCTCCTTTTTTTCTTTTTTATTTTTTTATTTTTTCTTCTTTCTTTTTATTATTAATTATTATACAATATATATATAACAAAATATTATATATGACAACGAAAATTGAAATATTTGTACATTTTTTAAAATTTCATTTGTTTTTATTTTTTTTTATTCTTATTCAGTCATAATTGATCGTTGTCAATCATTTTTTTTTCTTTTTTTTTTTTTAAATTCAAATCTTTTTCATAATTATTATTCTTACATTTATTGATAAATATAATTATAATGTGGTAATGTGTTAATATTATGATAATAATATTAAAAAATGATCTTATATATGCATGGTGTGTTTCGAAGTTCGATGTTGTATCCGCTTAATTAATTTATTATCCATATATCTTCTCGTGTGTTTTCCAAATGCACGTTTTCCCCCGTTTTATTCCTGTAATCATAAATCGTGTTCTATTATATTACAAACTTAGACCTATATCTTTGTTTTGACGTAGCAATTATCTTTTTTAACGAAATATCTTATTTTTCTGCAATATTTTTGATTTTTCTTTTTTTTTTGTAAACCCAACGAGAGATAAATTTTGACTGTTTGGCCCGCAAAAATGATTTTATTTACAATATATATATATATATATATATATATGCAATGTGACGTTTTTTATATATAATACGTAGACAATTAGTATCTCTTTGCACAAATATAACTGAGAATGGAAACAAAAATTACGATCTTATTTTACAGCGAATGATGATAAAAAAAAAAAAAAAAAAGATAGCCTAATTTGCGTGTGTGTGTGCCATTATCTTTTGTGATATTTTTATTTATTATAAACTTACAAAGAAACACAGACAGAAAGAGAGAGAAAGAGAGAGAGAAAAAGAGAAAGTTAGGTAACAATAATATATATATGAAAAAATATATTTGCATTAAGTTTTTATTTTTACAAATCAATATAAACGAATATAAATTTATTTATATAATAAATAAATTTCTCTCTCTATCTGTATTCTTATCTTCCTCCACCTTCTCTCTTTTTTTTTATGTTAAGTTTTAATAATTTTGACATGACAATATTATAGAGTTATGAAATAACTAAAAAAAGAAAAAAGAATTTTTGTAGTCGTCAATTATTTGAGAAATTACTCGCCAGCTTTTCTTTCTCGCATCCTATAATAATTTGATACTAAATATATTTTAGATTCATGTGAGAAATTATAAACGGCGAGTAGTTTCTCGAAATATGATAAAAATGCACGCTCATGTGAAATTCTTTTTTTATTTTATTTGATTTGATTCTTTTATTTTGGCTTTAATTAGAGAAACGTAGTCGTGTGAATTAAACAATGCATTTGAATTCTTTTTTTTTTTTTACTCGTATAGCAAGCTTTGCGTTTTTCCTATTCTCCTCTTTTTTCACACATATATATTTTTATTCGATATATTAATTTGATTTTATTTTATTTCATTTCTATCTTATACTGTCTTTATATTCTAACGATTGTCATGACATATGTTGCCTTTTATATATATATATATATATTTAAAAATATATTTACATATATATCAAAACAATATTAAATATTTAGCTAGCAAGCATGATTTTGTGTGATCTCACAGTTTGAACGGTTGTCATCGATCGAAATAGAATGAAATATATTTCTTGACAATTATTTGTGTGATATTATAGAAAAAAAAAAAAAATGAAAGAATAAAGGATTAAATTAATAATTAATAAAAAGAAACAAAATTAACAAAATTGAACAACAGTAAAAAAGATAAGTTGATTTTAATTTCTTTGTCGATCGATGAACATCGTAAATAATTTCTAAATAAAAAAAAGGAGGAGGGGTCATCATTGAAAACAATGATCAGGAAAAAATGTGACGACCAACAAGAAGGACCCTCTCAACAACGTATTTTTTCTGTTTTTCTTTTGGAATGATGATGGAATGAATTAACGTGACTGTAATAATCATCCCCTGTTCTTGACCAATATCGCACACCTGCTGCTTATGCGATTCACTATACTTCGGAACACGCACGATTCCGCAAAAAAAAACGAAAACACAAAATATATATAATAATAATAATAATAATAATAATAATCCTTTGAGTTAATATTAATTAGTCTCGGTTGAAGCGTACTCTATGGACGACGTAGTATAAACTTTCTTCATTAAATATATATTATACAAGACCCAATTAAATTATTATCGTAATATTTTTACGTCAAATTAATAATGGAAAAAAAAAAAAGAAAAATTATTTTCGAATATTTAAACTCTACGAATAACACGAGTATATTCGTTGATAACGAGAAAATTAATTATCATTTATTTATGTAAATCAATTTCTTATTTATTGTTTCAAAATATTAAATGATATATATATATGTATAAATGTTGAGCAATTTCAAATACTTTTAGGAAAGAATGATGGAATAAAATAAAAAGAAGTAGATCGTAAATTTGAAAATTTACTCGAGCAAAAGAATGCTTACGGTGCAACATAAAATTATAAAAATAATTCCTGACTATATATACTTGTTTAGATTTAATAAATCAAAATCAATTGTTTTAATATTTTATCTTACAATTAATATTCACACACAGTTTTAATTATCATACGCGTCTAGTTCAAACTGATAGTTTATGCCGAACATAGACAACTCAAAGGATTATTATTTTTATTTATTTTTGTGTATTTGTTTAAATATTTATAACAATTACGCGAGATGAATCGTACTCTTATCGAGTCTATTACTTCTTTTTTCTCGAACGGCCGTGCAGTAAAACGAGAAGTTACACGAAGCCCTGCGACACCCAACCGTGTGAAAAAATAAAACAACGGAAGAAGATGATTTATGAAAGAAAAACAAAACGAAAATCAAATTAAGAAAAAAAGTGAAGAGAGAGAGAGAGAGAGAGAGAGAGAGATACGAATGAAAATCGTTGACGCGATCGTAAATTATTAACAAAAATTTATTTAAAAAAAAAAAACAAGAAATATTCAAGCCAAAGAACAAAACAAAAAATTCCACGTAACCCAACGCAAAAGAAAATAAGAAAAAAAAACATTTCGTTTCTTTTTTTTCAATTCTACCATTTCTCTCTTTTTCTTTTTTTTTTTTTCTCATTTAAAATTTTGAAATTTCTTTTATTTTTCTTCGCCTATATCGAGAACGTGTTATTATATATAATATCTTTAAACACATTAGTCGAGTAAAATAAAATAATCTTAGCGTTTAAATAATTGCGTACGAGAACGGGAAAAAGAAAATTTTTAAAAGAAAAAAAAAAAGGAAAGAAAAATGAAAAAAAAATAATATGATAGATCGAATACGTCGTTGTAAAGAGTAACATCGAGATAAAAGAAAAAAAGAAAAGAAAATGTAGAAACGGATGAATTAAAATAAAAGGGAAGGACTTATATAATTTTGGATTGCAATTTGGAGAAAGGAAATAAAAAAAAGAAAAAAAAATAGAAAAGAAAAACGCGTGCGTGAGATTTAATCGCTTGAGAAAATCAAATTGTGACTAATTATTACTTCCTATCGATATCGTTTATAAATGATAATATATATATATTTCTTTTTTTTTTAAATTGGATATTTTTAGGATTAAAAAGAAAATGTATTTTTTTTTATGAATTTGTCTCTTCAATTTTTACGAAGATAAACCGAAAGGTGCATTGAAAAACATATCGAACGCTCGGCGTATGATTCTTGTGAACGTCAACGAAAAAATAATTTAAAAAAAAAAAAGAAAAAAAAGAAAAAAAAATTATCGTTCCACGAAGCTTTCTCGTCGAATTTATTTTAATTTTTGATCAACTGTGTAAACCAATTTCTTTAATCGCACAAATCTTGTACATTATAATACGTCTTAAAAACTACATCGTTATTATTATTATTATATATCTATATATACATATATATATATTATTATTACTATTATTATTATTATTATTAATATTAATATTAATATTATATTAGAAATATTATCAATATTATTGTTATCGGACTAACATGGGAGACCAGTGGCAATGTGTGAGGATTAGAAAAACAACAAAAATTTTAATCCAAAATTTAACGGACACTCGTACAATAGTTCTTTCTTTCTTTATTTGTTGTATTATTTTTTCGTTTCACACACAGATATAAATACATACATATATAATTATATATATAACACAAAATTATCGCGTATAATTTTTTTCTTTATATATTTTTATTAGTAATATATAATTATAAATTAAAAAGAAATACCTAGTCAAGAATATAAAGAAGATTACTTAGAAATACGTAAAAAAAATCAATCTATTTAGAGTTAAACAAATTTTTAAACAAGAAGTGCCAAATGTAGAAATTATATTTAAACTAAAAAAAAAAAAAAAATAGGAAACAACAGAAACAATATAAGACTGCCATGAATTTTTATAGGAAATTTTTCGAAATCCTCCCATTTGTTCACTCGATTCTCATTAGTCATCTTTACATTTTCTTTTCTCCGAACTGAACAAAAAAAAAAAAGTGCCAATAAGTGCAAATTAATAAATACGCCGTACAAAAGAAAAATCCAAATAATAATAATTATTATTATTATTATTATAACAACTTTCTTTCAAAAGAAATTGTGAGTTTGATGTTCCACAGCTACGTTAAAAAATTAAAAAAAAAGAAAGTTAACGAAACGATAAAGAGAAAAAGAAAAAGAGAGAGAGAGAGAGAGAGAGAAAGAGAGAGAGAGAGACACAGAATTTAGAGATTAAAATTCGCGGGCTTTTTGAAATGCTTTTAAAACAAGAAATTCGAAAGTTTTACACATAAAAAGCTTTTTTCGTAGCGAAGAGAAAAATCGTAGCTTTGATATATATACACGTCAAATAAATATAATTATACATATACATATATATATATATATATATATATATATATATATATACTACATGCATAATAAGCATTGTCGTATTCGTGCCAGTCGATAAATATTCTCTCTCAAAAAGCGTTATATTTTTCGTCGTTTAAATATTATATTATATAAATAATATAAGCGAGAGCTCTTCCTTAATTCTTTGAATGGACTGATAAAATGACGTATCTCGTCATTAAATCAATAATAACGACGACTATAACGATAATTTATATACTACGTAAATGAACGTTTACGATTTAAGGGGAATAAAAAAAGAAAAAAAAAAAAAAGAAAAAAAAAACAAGAGAATACATTCTTTTTTTCTTTTTTTTTTTTTTTTTTTTTTTCTTCTTCTTCTTTTACTTTTCTTTCCATAATTTCTTAAATTCGAGTTCGCGTCGAGTAAAATAAGTTTTACGAGAAATACGTTTATTAAAAAAATTTCTTTTTTAATTAAGATTATCCTAATTTAATTCTATGTCGGCCTATGAGAATGTCCAATCAACGAATCAAGCATTCTAATATGTAGAAAAAAGAAAGAGAAAGAGAAAGAGAGAGAGAAACAGAGAGAGAAAAAGATATATACACGCACATGATATATATAAAATATACGTATTCTGCTCGCTGTACTTTAACTCGCATCGATTCGAGCGAAATAAATAAATAAATAAATAAAGAAAGAAAGAAAGAGAGAGAAAGAGAGAAAGAAAGGATGGGAGAGACGAAGTTTTTTTCTCAAAAAAAGAAAAGAAAACAAAACAAAAAAAAAAGGAAAAAAAAAAAGAGAGAGAGAGAAAAAGAAAAAGAAACGAAAAAGAATGGCAACCTAACTTCGCGTCAAATGCACTTTTTATATTTTTTATAGGTCACATAGTGCAAAGAGTAATTTCGAAGGATATTGATAAAATGATCCGGAGAACGTTCGACTAATGGCGTTTGAATTAAGAAAAAAAAAACAAATAATAATTCCTTCCCCCTTGCAGAAAAAGAAATAGGGATGGGGGGAAAAAAAACGCAAGATACAATCGTTCTTCCTGAATTCAAATTTGGCGCTTTTTTTCTCGAACGTTCTCTATCAACAACTATTTACACATTATGTATAAGGAATATTAGAAAATTAAGGAACGTTCGGTGTAACACACATTATTAAAAGAAACAAATTACATTTGCATTAAAACGCGCATACATACATACACACAAACACACAGACACATGGCACACGCACGGAAAAAGATAAAATAAGTGTGTGCATGTAATAAAGGTAGAAAGAGAGTGACGATTTATGCATAGTTTTTAGAGAAGAAAATGAAAAAAATATCAAAAAAAAAAAACAAAACAAAACAAAAAAAAAATGAATGAAAGAGAAAGAAAAGAAGAAGAAAAAGCACATTGGGATCGAAAATGATCGCAGGTAATAAACGTATGTATGTATAATATATCTATATGATAATTAATTAATTCATCATTAATATAAATATAACACACTAATAATTCCTTCGTGATCGTAGAAAATGTGGACACGTACATATACACGCATACACACACACACATATACATACATATGCATTATATAAATATATATATATAAATATATATATTTATTATATTCTTAACTTTGAAAAAAAATATGTAGCACGTTGTATAAGTCGTTATTTAAGCTATCTGACAATGAGCCACACCTTTTGAGTTTATACGTTATATATATTATATTCTATATACATTATACATAAAACAAAAATTCTTATCGACAAATTATTGCGCTACGATATATTATCATCGATTTTTGAATAAAACCGTGCTTTTCTCTTCTTTACTTTTTGCTATATTTCTTCTTGGTTTTTCTTGTTTTTTTTTTTTTTTTTTTTTTTTTTAGAAAAAAGCCAAAATGTAAGCGGGATATTATTACTTGCAAAAATATACTTATACATTATGCGATAACTGTGTAACACTACAATACAATTGTTTATTCGTCCTAATTTTATATACATCGAATTCGAGGATTAACAAGAGAGAAAAATTTGACTTTTATTCGCGATGAAAAAAAAAAATCTCATTGGTTTTTTTTTTTGTTAGTTTACCACATCTTTGAGAATAATAGATTTGTGCTTTTTAATAATTATTCTTCTTTTTTTTTCTTATTTTATTATCATCATCATCATCATCATCATCATCATCATTATTATTATTATTATTATTCTATTCTTCCCGATGAATCTATTTTTCCGTGCAATAATTTTATAGAAATCTTGTAATGGGAAAATATATATTTTCTATCCGTGACACATCGCGTATTACTTCTATACAGAAAATTTGTTGACTCTGGACCAAAAGTTTCTAAGTGATTTTAACAATTTTAAATTTGTTAAATTTGCAATTTAATAATTTGAAAAAAAGAAAAAAAAAGACAAATATACAATAATTAGGCTGGAAAGGTATTTCGGGAAAAATAATAATCGATCTTGTTTAAAATCACTTGAAAAAAAAAAAAAAGGAAAACTTTTGGAAAAACGCCTAGGCTATTTTTTTTTTCCTTTCACCCTGTATATGTATAAAAAATAATACACATAATATAACGTACATATTTATATACGTGCGTTATTTAACAGGTGTCTATGTACGTAGGAAAAGAGTTTAATATATGAGCGAAGGTATAACACGATCGTATTTACGAGATAAATAAACCAATAAGAAAAGAGAGAGAGAGAGAGANTTTTAGAAAAAAGAATAATATTGTCAAGTAATTTATTACTTGCAAAAATATACTTATACATTATGCGATAACTGTGTAACACTACAATACAATTGTTTATTCGTCCTAATTTTATATACATCGAATTCGAGGATTAACAAGAGAGAAAAATTTGACTTTTATTCGCGATGAAAAAAAAAAATCTCATTGGTTTTTTTTTTTGTTAGTTTACCACATCTTTGAGAATAATAGATTTGTGCTTTTTAATAATTATTCTTCTTTTTTTTTCTTATTTTATTATCATCATCATCATCATCATCATCATCATCATTATTATTATTATTATTATTCTATTCTTCCCGATGAATCTATTTTTCCGTGCAATAATTTTATAGAAATCTTGTAATGGGAAAATATATATTTTCTATCCGTGACACATCGCGTATTACTTCTATACAGAAAATTTGTTGACTCTGGACCAAAAGTTTCTAAGTGATTTTAACAATTTTAAATTTGTTAAATTTGCAATTTAATAATTTGAAAAAAAGAAAAAAAAAGACAAATATACAATAATTAGGCTGGAAAGGTATTTCGGGAAAAATAATAATCGATCTTGTTTAAAATCACTTGAAAAAAAAAAAAAAGGAAAACTTTTGGAAAAACGCCTAGGCTATTTTTTTTTTCCTTTCACCCTGTATATGTATAAAAAATAATACACATAATATAACGTACATATTTATATACGTGCGTTATTTAACAGGTGTCTATGTACGTAGGAAAAGAGTTTAATATATGAGCGAAGGTATAACACGATCGTATTTACGAGATAAATAAACCAATAAGAAAAGAGAGAGAGAGAGAGAGAAAGAAAGTGAGAGAGTGTGTGTGTGCGTGAGAGAGAGAGAGAGAGAAAAAAATTTGTTGATATCGATTGGTAGAGAATTGAATTGCGTTGATCGACAATATTTATTTGTATTAAGAATATTTTAATTATTTTCTTTTCTTTTATTTCTTTTTTTTATTTTTATTTTGTATTATTTTATTTCGTACTATAATATCGATAGTGATAATTTTTACTTATGGGATTTATTATAAAACTGCGTTATATTTTTCTCTCTTTTTTTTCTCTGTTGTAACGTTGTATCATCGTAACAAATCGTAATATAATTTTTAACGACGACGTGTAATATCTTTGTTCTTTTCATGTATAACATTTATTATTATATAATAATATCACTATTGATAAATAAAAAGAGATATCCTATATATATATATATATAAAAATTAAAATAAAAAAAAAAGAAAAATCTCTCAAACGAATCTTAATTTTAGGGCCAATCCGTCAAAACTCTGAAACTTTATTCTTTTTCCATTTAAATAAAAGATATCTACTGTACCATGATAACGTATTCTTTAATAATAATAACAATAATAATATTGTAAAACACTGTAAACTTTATTGCGGAAAATACAACGTCGCGACAAAATCTCGAGACCCATCGAATGATGAAATATTTTTTTGGTTTTTTTCTTTTTCTAAAAAGTTAAGATATCATCCAGAACGGAATTTCGTGTGTTTTTTTTTAATCTTTTATGTTTCTTTTTTCCTTTCTATTTATTTTTCTCTACGATAATACGAAACCCACCCCCAAAACAAAACAAAAATTACCAAAAACAATGATGACGACGACGACAACGACAACAACGATAGGAAATACAAGCAAGTTGCACAGACGTATGCGAGAGTTGCGAGAAGAAGGTATATCCACTTGAGAAGGTCGAAACAAATAACAAAATTTTTCACAAACAGTGCTTCCGGTGTCTTCAATGCAATTGCGTTTTAAGGTATATTTATTAATAATTATTATATCCCAGTTTTATATTGAATAATATTTTTTACTAAATATATATTGCATATAATTTTTTTTATAAATATTTATTCACATTTAATGAAAAGCGTTATATATATAAGATTAATGTTACATTTACCTTATTGATTTATTTAATTATTTGTTTATACAGGATGGACACATTTACGTTAAACAACGGTAAACTATACTGCATCCCACACTTCAAACAACTTTTCATAACGCGAGGCAATTATGATGAAGGTTTTGGCGTAGATCCACACAAGAACAAATGGGCGACGAGCAGTACGAATCAAGCTAACGTATCACCAATCGCAGTGTCCAACGGTGACCTCTGATTGGTTATTGGTTCTCCCTCCACCTAATTGGACCCTCCTCCTCCTTCTCCTCGTCCAATAATCCTCGCGCATCGCGATAAAACATTATATATTTACATATATTCGAATATTTTGTAAATCCTTTGTTTTTTTCTTTTCTTTTTTTTTGAAAAAGAAAGAAAGAGAGAGAGAGGAAGAGAAAGAGTTTCTAATTATGCATTCATATTTTTTTTTTTTAATTTATAAAAACGCGTCATCAATCTTACGTATGAACTTTAACGAGTATTATTGTTTCGAGCCACGTTTCTTCTTTTTTCTAGGACGAAAATAGAAATGATCGTGTTCGAAGAATTTCTCGTCTTTTTTTTTATTATTCAACGATGAAATACAGAAAATATAATCTTTAATTGGGAATAAATACAAATAGTAATTGTTATATATTTACTTTTCGATTTTTCCATAAGATAAACGTACTTTCGATCTTATTTTTCAACACGCAAAATCTATCGACAGTTTATATGCATAAACTATTTTATTTATTTATACCATAACCGGTCTAATAACCGGATCCCTTATAACAGGATAGTTACATTTTATACAATTGAACGAAAACAAATGATAGACGCATTTTAATGAATTAAACAGTATTTATAATTATAACTTACGTAAAGTCTCAAATAAAATAAAGCAATAACGTTAAATGCCGGTCATTAAAAAACATTTAAAAACCATACAATTTTGGGATTGATCATTGTACCTTTAATGTTGAAACTCGCCGTAAAAAACACTTCGTCGTCGTCTGATACTTATAATATGGAAACTCTAATATGAGGGGGAAGGGACACGAATTTTGTCTATCGTCCAATATAATAATACATATGGTTTGTTTATAACTATTTTTATTAGGAATAACGGTTACTCTAACGCGACTTTTTATTGCAAATAAACCTTCTTTTTGGTAACGCTTAATTATTATATTAGCGGCCAAAAACATATTTATTATTCTCTTCGCTACAAATTCGTGCGCATATTTTTTATTATTATTATTATTATTATTATTATTATTAATATTATTATTATTTAGACTATTATTTAGATATTATTATTTAGATTATTGTTATTATTATTATTACTTAAATTAATATAATTATTATTATTATTTTTTTTTAATTATTATTATTATTATTATTATTCATAAATTATCATCTTATATATTTTTATCGTGTATTACATCGAGCGATCGATGTTCCTGAAAAATGATGTATTTTTTAAAGAAGAAAAAAAAGAAGAAGAAATTATTATGAATTGTGATTTTATATATGTGTCCTTGAAAAATACGTATACGTTATTTCTTATTATATCTAGGATGATATTTGTGTTTGAAATTTGATTTTATACATGGCCGTAAAAGAAAGTGGCATTAAATAACCAACGCGTTTATTCATACACACATTTTCGTACATTATATTTTCAAATTATTTACTTTAACGTTTTTTGTCGCACGTATAGATTAATGTTAGACACTCGTTAAAAAGATTTGAAAGATATTCTTAAATGAAAAAGAACAAAAATAATGAATCCAATATTTCTGCAAAGGATAATTTATTCCAACTATATACATGTATATATATATAGTTAAAATAAATTATATTGTATGGTGTATATATATATATTAATTTTTAATTTAGATTTGGCCAATTTCTGTCGTAAACATTTTCTTGTGAATCGTCTATTAGAAAATTAATTTTATTTTTTACTTTTATCGTTCTTGGTATTATTTTACTATGTACGTTGTATAATACAATAACTCAAATGTGTTTTATTTTTTTCGTTTAAAAACCAATCCTTGTTAATCCTGATATTTATTAACTTTTTATGTATTTATCAATCAAATCGATGAACTCCGTAATACAAAAGGTAGAGAAAAATTAGGGTTTCTATTGAATTTATCATCCTAATATTGCAGAGAATCATTATACTTCAAAGCAATTGCAAAAAAAGAAGTTGCACGTAAGCTTCTCCATTATTTCAAGATGGTGGACATTAGAAGGGATCGTTTATAAAGATCCTAACCTAACTTTTACTTCAATTACTTTTTTTCCAATTCTGTTATATCACATAACTCAAAATCGAGCTCCCAATTTCTAATGTCATTCGCTAATAAAAAGCCCGTTAGGAGACTAAAGTTCTCCTTTATCCATCTCCATGTTTTACCGTCCAAAGATAAACATAAATGATGTTTTAGTCAATACTGAATATAAAAATTATAAATTATCCGTATGATATCAGCCGAGCTTCCTCTACTATTTGTAGTTAGAGAAATTCATTACAGGTGACGTTATTAAAGACGCAAAATGGCGGCAAGGTAAAAGGTAAAAAAAATTCATTAGAATTTGAATTAAAAATTGTTTGTATTGCGTGTCAAACAAATGATATCAAATGATTAAAGTAAAGCTTTTCTAGTCAATTTATGTCAATTTTATTTATTGTAAGTATATAACTATAATATTCCTAAATTTTCACAGATAACGTTGATCTTCATATTGCTCATTTGTAGTTAACGTAATTTCGTACAGATAACGCTATTGTTGCCAAGAGGTTTCACAAAGTGTGTGTTCTTCTGATTATTATATGTAGTTAATGAAAAGTCGTGCATATAAATACATAGATTGGTAGCAAAAAAAGATGTAACAAATTTCTTTTTATTTTATTATTTCAAGTGTACGTGCTTAATTATTCGAGAAGTTTAATTATTTCATTTATTAATGTAATCAATATTTATTATTGAATAAATTATACGTGACATTTTACAATTGGACTGAAGTTGAAGTCTCGTAAAATAAGCTGTGGTAAGTCTAAATTGAAGATAAGTGAATAAACGTGAAAAACAACTGTAAAAATGAATGTATACATTTACTACTCAAAGTGGGTAGCATTTGTTGCCACACCCTGTATATAATATATGTTAATATGTATGTATAATATAATTATAATAAAGATAGGTGTTCTCTGATTTGAAGAAGATTTGATCACGGTTAATACAGAATGTCGCAAAAAATATTACTACAAAATGAGTACATTGACACCACCCTGTATTACAATTACACTAGGAGGTCAACTTAAATTATATACATGAATAACTATTTTATTTAAAAATGTGTTACAATCTACCTATTTAGAATCTTGAACATTTAACACATTCAAAAAGTACTCATGACTCGTTCCCTCCTACGCCTATTAATGCAATTTTTTTATGAGTTAAATAAAATTATTTGTATACTTATACTCTCTCTATAAACCTATTCGTTACGAAGTTATCGCTTGGAGACAAATTTTCAGTATATTGTAATTTTATAAAGTGCGAAGCAAAAAATAATTGAAAATAAATACAATAGAAAAATAAATAAAAATTATAGACAATTGGAATAAAAAATATAGATAAAAGTAAATTCGTAAATAAATAGGTCGTGTACATGGGGTACCAAATAATCTTAGTCCGGGACTGCCGCTATGGCATACTTTCAAACCAGTTGTTCAGTTACCAATGAAATGCTAGTGGTGCAATCGTGGAACGCGCTTTGTTTCAAACAATAAATGAAAGTCTATATTCGATAGGACGCGTATCGATGATTCTTGACATTTTAAAGATCACCTAGTTTATTTCGTTCATTTACCGGTACTCGTCGCAGCTAATTTCACGTGGATATTAAATCCCCCTCCCCCCATTCTTATCACTGACAGTTCTTGTTTAAAGGATCATCCTGATCCCAAATTTAACAAAAGTACATTTTTGTATAAATCTATGATATATATGTATATACTTTTAAGAATGTTATACAAAAATATTGACACACAGGTACTTTTTATTATTTTGTTATTTATATTTCAAAAGTTAGGATTCCGAGACTCCCTTTCGCGTTTAATGAAGACCTAAATTATTCGAAAGTAAGAAATATTCTTGTGATTTATATTGCAGATGAAGGAAATAAGTTTAGAAATTTGCGTGGACACAATTGAATCAGCAAAAAATGCCGTGATTGGTGGCGCCACCAGATTGGAAATTTGTTCGGCGTTGTCCGAAGGTGGCCTAACGCCAACCCCAGGTTTGATAAAACGTATTCGTGAGATATCACCGATACCGATTTATGCGATGATTCGTGTTAGAGGTGGAAATTTCGTTTACAGTCGAGAAGAGATGGATATTATGTTGGACGATTTAAAAACTTTGAAAGAATTAAATGTGGACGGTTTTGTTTTTGGTGCATTAACCAGTGATCGACAAATTAATGTATCGGATTGTACAGAAATCATAAATGCGGCGTATCCGCTTCCGGTAACATTTCATCGTGCTTTCGATGTATTACTGGATGAACCTTCGGTAGCCATTGAAATTTTAATAAATCTCGGTTTTAAAAGGATACTATCGTCGGGACGAAAAGAAACGGCCGAAAAAGGGCTCGATCTTTTAGCAGAAATGTGCAAAATAGCTGATAAGAGAATTTCGATAATGCCAGGTTGCGGTATTACACCGGATAATTTAATGAAAATTAAATTGGGAACTGGTGCCGATGAATTTCACGCTTCGGCTAAATGTAAGAAACAATTATGTCCGGGTTTTGATCGACAAACTAATTCGATTAAGATGGGTGTCGTGTCTGAAGATGATTTGATCATGGTTACCAATAGTGATTCGGTCAGACAAATGATTAACATATTGTTTAACGTTATTCCGCATGCGTGATTACTTAAAAAGTAATATATATGAAAAGTAGGGTATATAGAAAATGGCGGTAATAGTGTAATCTTCGCGACACTATTAAAATGCAGGATGTACATTCCAAATTTGACCTAATTGTCAGAGAAAATCCAATTATTAAATTAAATAATAGTAATATCCAATTATAATATAAATCCAATTATTGAATTAAATAATAGTAATATATTATTTTTGCAATACTTAATTATATTTACGTTTATATACGAATACAATAAAAATTTACAAAAAAAGATGTCGTTTAATTTTTTTATACTCTTGTTCTTTTTTTTTTTTTTTTTTTTTTTTTAAGCATCGTTATCTTATATAACTCTTATCGTTTCTTATAAGCTTACGATTATAATACAATTTGAAAAGTGACGCAATGATAAATAATAGAAATAGTAATAACGATCATTAAGTTTCCTTTATAATTGTAAATATCGTCATTTCTGCGACGATAACAAGCCATTATTATTGGTACGTTTTATTTTAACTTGTAGTCAAATTCAATCTAACCAACTTTTCAGGTAAAATATGAGTTAAAAGATATCCAATTGATTTTTTAATTTATAAAAGAAATATATTGCCTAATCGTGATGTGGGGTCTAACCGAATCAATTAATTTGATGATTAAAAATAAACTAATGTAAGATATTTGATGAATCTTTTTACAAAATAAACCCAAAGAAAAAACAAATTTTTTTTCAATAATTCCAAATGTTAAATTTATTTAACAATTTGAATATAATATTTAACGAGAATAGAAACACACACACACAATTGATAATCACTGACCTAAACATTATATGCATTTATAAGATTGTTTTGTATATACTTATATAAGTATATATTATTGTATATATTTGTATAATTATGTAAGAAAGTAAATATATTTATTCTTCGAATTAATAGCAAATTTGAAAAAAAAAAAAAAATTTAATGGTTAACACGTGTCACTATGATAAGCGAACTATGTACCAGTCGTATAATCCTTGCTTATGTTTATAGCTTTCACCGTACACATATTGCATACTTACGACATCAATGTCAATCAGAAAGGCCAGTCACCAAAATTGCATAACCTAAGTATTTGTACCTATTCGAGCAAAAGATTAAACGTTATTTAATTACTTTGAATAAAATTTACGCTCTCTTTCTCGATCATCCTAGTCTATTTGTTGCTTGTTCCAATGCTATACAATTTTATATTGCATATTATTATTATACGTGAAATAATTTTTTTGTTTTTGTCTCATGATCTTTTTGCAACTTTTTCTTATTATCGTCATTTAATTATTTTTCTTTTTATCCTTCACCCTTCCCCCCTCACCCCACCGTTAATTTTTTGTTATTTCGTTTTTAAATGTCATCGTATAATTTAAATATTTTATTATTATTATTATTATTATTATTATTATTACTTTTTTCCTTCTCTCTATTTGCGTGTTACATTCTTTTTTTATTTCTTATTTTATTACCTTACATACACTTTTAACATATTCTGTAATCTTATAACAAACGATCGAATCGAGAAAAATATATTACCGCGATATATAATACAATCGACGATTTGTTTGTCCTATAATATTATTATCACTTTCTATGGTACATTGACATAACGTTATCGTGAACTATACCGTAATAATGCAATAAATACGGAAGTCGTCAAAGACCAATCAGAGAAACGTCAACTGCATATCCTAGAGTTATAAAAGCAAACGATTCACTTATTTTTTTTTTATTACCTTTTCGTACGATGCAATTTTCTTTTTCTAATTTTCTTTTACAACAATTCCCTTCTCCTCCCAACCCCACCCTCCCCATTCATACGTATAATATTTTCGTATAATCGATTAATCGTATTAAGAATTAATCCACGATTGATTTAATCCATGATGTAAAAAACATTTTCAATGTTAAATGTCATTTAGACCAATTAGTATTCTACGATAGCAAATTCTTACTGAATAATATAATGATTCAAAGAACGTAAAGTTAAATGAGAACGATTTATGTCGACGAATATCTAAATTTCAATATTTTGTCTTCATTTTTATTCCTCATATGTTCAGTGAATCTATAATAATTATTTTTTCTAGCTCGTGCTTTTTCGTTTGCTGATTTCTTTTTTTTTTTTGAAAGGGGGCTGGAAAGGCAGGGAGGGGAAGAAATATAAATTTTCATACAAAAATTTATCATCTCGTATAGAATTATATTGCATAGAAGAATATTTTCATATAAAATTTCTATTGTTTGAAAGATATTAGAGAAAATAATTTCCAATTTGTTCTTTGTCACCTAGATGTGACATAAATCGATAACATTCGATAATTTTACCACCCGTAAACCAAAGTATATACGACGTATAAATACATATGTTTAAACTTAAAAGGTTAGTACGTATTTATGGTATTCACGATACGTGATTCGAATCGATAAAATAATTTATTCCAAACAACGGAGAATAGTGATACGACCAATGATGATTGAGGAAGTATATTTTCTCGATCACCTTTGATGAATTATAATTAAGAGTTCTCTCCATTCGACCAAAAAGAAAAGAAAAAAAAAAAAAAAGAATCAATCCAGCGAAAGAAATAAAGAGAGTTTATCCAATAAAAAAGGAATATTTAATTTTAAAATAACAATATTAATAGATTTTAATATGTTTCAAAAAGCAAGAAATGTATAAAAAGAATATGATACAGAATATGGAACACTTTAATAAATTTGTAAAGAAAACTCGCAAGATATTATTCTAAGAAATAATTAATTTCATAATAAGTTGCTTTTAATTTGATTGTTTTTTTTATAAAAGCAGTAATACTTTGTATTGTTTTAGATAGTTTACGTTGTTTACTTATCGAGATTGTAGTATTCTATATTAGATATAGTTACCCCATCCACGCAAGTGAACGCGTATGAATGTTTATCAGTTGTATCATAAATGAATTCATTTAATTAAATCAATCGTCCAAATGAAATTTTAAATTTCTATTTCATATATACACAATATATATCTGTTCTTTTTTTTCTTTTTTATTTAATCGATCGCGGTATCTTATTTATTATAATAAATAATAAAACATAAAATATTGTAAATTATCGTATATTAATATAATAAATGATTCTCTTATTCATTTAGAAGATAATGAGAGAGACGATCTTTTCTTCTTGCTTAACTGATAATGAACACTTTCTAACATAATTATAATGATTTTCTAAGTTCAACGAAGTTTCACTAAACGCGAATAGAAAATTTTCAAATACAATAGATACCCATATATCGCGAATTCATATAACATACAATTAATAACTAGTTTTTTATAGTGATTAGAAAATAACAATAATTTAATAATTTTGGGAAAATAATTTACACAAATGACAATTATTTGATTGATACCCAACCAACAAAAAAAATCTAATAGAATATTTTTATAATATTATATTAATCATCATTTATATATATATATCGTTGTTTTATAAATAAATACATAAATATGACACGGTTATATATAGTAAAATGGATGGGTGACCCATTCGGAGGAACAAAAACTGTGTAATGTTGGTTCCAAAGAGATGGTAAAAAAAAATATAGTATTCGATAAATGTGAAAAAGTGTTTGCAAAGAAGTGACAAACTCATAAAGGAAAAGTAAATGAATATAATACATTTTTTGTTGCATTTTATATATTCTGTGCTCATCGAGAATTGAAATATTTTTCACCGTATGGAGAAAAAAAAAGCGAATGCTGCGTATTGATCGTTGGAAATGGTAAGTTGGTCACAGATAAAAAACTCAACTCGCATGACGTGCTTCTTATACACGGAAGATCATCGCATCAACGTGGCTTTGCACTTTCGTTTACTGTTCGCACACGTACAATCTATGTTGTACATATATATATATATATACATATGTATGTATTTATCTTTGTATTTAAATATATGCTTATTCAAGATTAATGAAAAATAATAGACAGCGATAAAATTTCAAGAAACAATTAATATCTAAATTCTTAACAATTATCACTTGATATTAAATTAAAAGAAATTGAAGAAAAAAAAAAGATTTATCATTTTACATTTAATATTAATTAAAAATTCATAATATATATCGAGAATTTATTTCTTATTGATTATATCTTGACGTCAGTTTTCATATTAATTGTCAAAATAAAAGATTATGACAATTATTAAATTTTTATTAACATTATAATTATATTTTTGGTTTATGATGAATTATAAAGGGTAAACGATATATATGTGAAGGGATTATTAAAGATATAAGAAGAGAAACTTGCAACAAGTGTAAGGAGTTACCCCCACTATGAAACATTAATGCTTTCGATTGTACGTTAAGAAAGTATACATGAAAGTATTTATACGTGTGCGTGTATGCATGTCGTTAAATCTATATTCGACATCATCTTATATAGACTCACACATATACTTGTGCGTAAATAATTACATGAGCGTAGATTATCCTGAAGTATTAATGATTTTGTTGCTGTTCTAATCTATTATAAGTATTCATTAATTTATATTTCTTTTGATTTTCTTATATTGTAATGCAATTTTATCTTGTGATTCTCGATATCCTTCATCACGAGCAGTCTCGTTTTCATAATTGCATAAATAAATAGTAGAAAAATTTCCAGAGCTAAGAATAAAAAGAAGAGATAATATAATGGGTTGCATACATTAGATGCACGATTAAATCAATATGTTGCAACACTAAATAGTTACATGTATAGATAAAAAAACAAGTAATATTTAATTTATAAAATTTAAATAATATGTTATTATTCTAATATTTTAATAGAGATAAACAGACTTATAAATATATACGAATAAAAAATAAATATAAATATAGTATAAATGAATAAAATCTCTCTCTAATATAAAATATAATATATTTTTCTAATAAAAAAAAAAGAAATATAACGTAAAATTTCATAACCTATTTATTATTACTATATTATATTATAAACATTTTAAATGTATAAAAAAATCAAATTATAAATATATATATATATATATATTTTTGTTTCAAATATAATTATCGTATAAAATATATTGTAAAATAAACATGTAAGTATTTAATCGATTTGAAGACTTTAAAAAGAAAAAAAAAGAAAACGAAACAATAATAATTACGATAAAATAATAGAGAATAAAATAAAAATTATGCACAAAGTATAGAAAAGCATTGAAAGTAACGACGCCTATGGTATCTAGTTTGTCATTGGTGAACAAGCAGTTCAGTGAAGCTGCGTGCGCATTTACCTGCGCACGAAGAAGACACATTCGGAACGTAACAAGTTCATCATCAGTACGAAAGACGCGTTCAATGAGATTTGTTTACGTAGTTTGTCGTCGTGTGTGCTCTCTTACGAACATTTTTCGTGTCTCTCTTTCTCTCTTCTCTTCTCTTCTTTTCCTTTTTTATCTTTTTAATAATTATCAAACAAATTATTAAATTAATCGTTAACTATACGACACACCGCGTAATTCTAAACCCAACGAGTTTTAATATTTTAATTGACGTTAATTGAACTATTTATGTTTTGTATTATTTTCACGTTGACAGTGTCTTTTATAGTGAGAGAAAAGAAATAAAATATATATATATATATAAGAGAAGAAGATACAAGGTACGATTTGTTTTATTTTCTTTTATTTTTCTTTTATGAAGAAATTGTCGAAGTTTTATTCCTCTCATTTATTTTCGACCTTGTCCCTTAATCGTTTTCCAATCATTTCTATTTTATTATTGTATGATCATTATATATTTGTACATTACTCATTTATTATAACTTTTTATTCTACGTGTGTATCGTTAAATATACAATTATTTTTACTGTTATATTCTCTAAATCGTTTTTTATGTTTAATATTTCCAAATCATATGTTGTTATTTGTCAATTAGAAAATTACAATGAAATAACGATTGTAAAATATTATTCTAAGTTAATTCAAACATTTTGTTATAAAATAAAATATTATTGAATTAGAGTAGCCACAACACTGGAAAATGCATACAAAAAGTAACGTAATAATTACGGTATAAATTACAGATTACAGTAGTTCAGCATCTTATATTTTCACGTATTCAAATACAAACGCATATTTTCTAAACTTTCGTTTCGTTCTCAAATTATATTTTCATTTTAATAGAAATAATTATTAGGAAAACATTCCGCAAATAAAAGTGCATATGGATAATAATGACTACACGTTTTAACTCTTAGCAATCATAAATCTGAATATTCTCGACAGTGAATACTTTTACCGTACGGAAAGTAAGAAAAATGAATCGAAATATGTCCGACACGTGGTAAAATAAACGATTTTAGTTGTTTAATCGTCCGATAACTTCTTCCCATTTCCTTCATTCAAATATTCATCATAAGTTTTCATTGTTCTAATTGAATTAATGTCTATTAACGTAATTAATCAATTAAACCGAATATTACAGGAAAAAGTAGTCAGTAAATTGAAAGAAAAATAAATTCTTCTCAAAGATAAAATAGTCATTAGCATGTATTGAATAGTTGGAATTGAATAATCATAATAGATATATGAACAGTCAAATAATCACATTAAAAAAAGAAGAAATAAAAAAACATATATCTTCATATATAATGAGATTTTTGTAGCCAATTGGATAACGAACAAAATATTTATCTCTTATGCTTTTTTACCGCATTTTTTTTTTTACAAATTACAGGATATTTTTACGAATTATCGTATTTTTACAAATAATATTTAACCGCGCGTGATAGGTTTAGTGTTAATTGTCTTAAGATGAAAATTAATTCGCCCACACTTGTGGTTGGAATACAACCTCAAACCATCACAGATTTGCAACCGTGTTTCATTGTCGATCTTTCGATATTTTAGTTTTAACTTTTCTTCAGTTTTATGACATACTATTGTATTTTGTATTCATAGTAATAGATGCAATAACATTAAATTTATTTTCATTAGCATATATTATATTATTACATCATGTTTCTCTCTCTCTTCTTTAAAAACATACACCTTATTGTTAGTGAAAATAATTCTTTTTTTGTTTGTTTTTATAATTGATACGAATTTTTGTCTTAAAAAACAAAAAAATAATCCGACGTTTGATTTCTATCGAAACATTAGTTAAACATTTTGTTGTTCAGGTAATAAATTTTATACAATTCTAGTTACAAATAAAACGACTATCAAATTAATTATATTGTACAAGAGTAATTTCTAACTATAACGTATTGAAAACCATAAGTAATGACAAATAATCGAAGAATGAAATCGTAAATCACTGCGATGATGAACTTTGATCATGAGATTTCAATTAAAAATAAGAATCCTTGCAAAACTAGTTTATGGTTTACAGTATCTCGCTTTACACTATACATCTCATTGAATATATCCTATGACGTAATACGAGTATATGTCTTACCATGAAAGATCGAAATTGGAGAATGTCAAGATTCACATCATCGCTTGTCAGCACATACCAAATACGTCAGTGAAAGACCGAATATTTGGGTTCATTCTTGTTGAACATAAATGCACCAAGCGATCATGTGAACTTTTACATCCTCTAATTTCAATGGTAACATATACCATATCATGTATTAATATTGTACATATTATACTAATGATTCTTAAATATTTTTTTGTATTCTTGTCAAATTCTAACAAGTACACACACTTTGTAAAATAATCATTAATTATTTTTTTGTACAAGAGTTGAGAAAAAATAAATAATTCATTTTGGGTCAAACAGAAAAAATGTAATTGAACAAACTTAACTGATTATAATATTTAATGGGACTTACATGACTGTTGATTCCCGTGCAATTTTTTTTTAAATTGTGGAATTTAACTAGACACAATCATCCTCATTTGCGATACTTTTTATCAAACCAATTTTGTTTTTATAAATCATCAACAAAAAAAAAACGAGCTTGGAATAAAAAAGTTAAAAAGTATAGCATTTAATATCTAATGTAAGTGAAAGCATAGCTTGATCATCGAGATTGTATACTATACAATTTTCGTCCCTGTAGTAAAGTATAATATAAGTATAACCAGTCGTGGAAAATTTTCTAGATTTTAATTATGCACGTTATTGTTTCTTTTTTTTTGTTTTTTACTTTGTTATCTCGATAAAACAAAAAAAAAGAAAAAAACTGTTTAAGTAGATCACCTTAAAGATAAAATGATCGTTGTAAAATTGTAGAATTTTTCTACCTGATTGAGATGAATCATATATGATAGAATTTTGTTCCTGAGTACAGTGGCAATACTGTATTAGGGGGTAAAGTGCAATCAATTAACGAACAATAATAGAACTTACGAAATAAAAATTTATAATTATGTGATTCATATAGTTAATTAAAATAATATTTATTAGTATTCGAATGTAATAAATATAAAACTTTTATTAATTTATTGTTTGTATCATTTTTTGTTTTTCAGTTCCATCTTTGGAAAAAAAAAAAAAGAGTTGATTCCGATATTGGATAGTGGAGAAAGAAAAAATATGCCGGCATCGAAATCGAAATAAAAATTTTCGTTCATAAGTTTCATCACGTTCAGTTTAACAATTAACCGTTGAAAAGAAAAAAAAAAAGGGAAAAACGTAAACGACGAAAATAAGGGAAGAGCAAGAAAAATGACGGACATTAACAAAGATGACATCAAACAAAAAGAAAAAATCAAGAAAATATTCAGCTGGAGTGATGGAATTATCAAGTAAGTTAGTTTGCTTTAGAAACACGGGTCGAAGACCTTTCGAAATTGGACAATCATTTCAAGAAAAATCAATGCGATTTTTACAATTGTATTTGTGTAAATTGAAATATATACTTCGTATAGTTTAGAAATAGTTTCGTTTTTAAACTGGCATCAATTAGTATGCTTCTATTTGCTTTTAATATAATTCATCGTAGAAACAATCCCAAAAGGTAATTACCTGGCATTTGAATAATTTGATTGGAAAGGTGTTCGTGCGCAGAAACAGTGACAGTGTCACGAACATTACACTGTTAACGCCATTTACTATATACATACTTTTATCTACATTTCTTTTTAATTTACTTTACTCATATGTTATCGATTTTTGAGAGGATAACTGTTGGTTCTGTGTTGGACACAGATTTTTATTAAACATTTAAAAGCCTCACTTTGTTCAGCAAAAAACTGCACGAGGCTTTAAAACAACGAATTCGTCAATTAAACAAAAAATTAGAAAAATCAATAGAAAAAGACAAGTTTTGTTTTTAACTTAAATTTCTCTGTCTAATGCATAATCGTTATTTTATTTTTATTTTATTTTTTTTTCATAAATCAACTGACCCATAAAAGAAATTTTGAAATTTTTGTATACTTGTATATGTATAAGATAAAATGTTTATGAAGAAGTACTTTTCCTGTTACGATAATAATAAAAAAAATATAGATGTTTATAAAAAAAAAAACTGGAAAGATAAATGATTCAAATTTTGATAACGTCTCACGCACAGTTTAATTGTTTAATAAAATATACTGTTATCTTTTACTGTTTTCTTACGCTTTACCAGTGAATATATATAATATAGTCTCGTGAAACATATAATTTCTCAATATTTCAAGAGATGGCACCACATATATGTATGATTGATACAAACGTATGCTCGTATGATACAAAGAAACAAGAATAATATGCAAAACTTGATTTATATATATATAGTTTTTGTATATATTATATATATACTTATACATTTTTAATAAAATCCTTAATAAGAATTTCATCAATTAATAAGAATTCTATGAAAAGTCAATAGCGTAGCCATATTGAAAATACTAGTCCCGTAAGATTATTAACGTCAAGCAACGGTGAACACGGTTATAATACATGGATGGGTGACTATTTAGAAAAATCATGTGCTGTTGTTGGCTCCAGAGAAACATTATAAAAGATGTAAACGTTTCGAAAATGTTAGGTTTATATATGAGAAGGTTTTATATATGAGGAAAAAATAACTTGACTCATAAAAGGAGAGAGTAATAAAGATAATATACTCTTACTATACTTATACAATATTACTATACTATATCAATTTTAAGAAATATATATTTAGGTAACTGATACTCTTAAAATAAATTTCATGCCGAAAAAGTCTTTAATTTAATATATCACGATTGAAGATTCAATTAACTAAAATAACAACAACAAAATATAATTAAAACATTAAAAATAAACTATAGATAAAAATGAAAATTTGTTAATATACAATTTTGTCGATAATATAGAAATCCTACAAATTACCATTAAAAAAGAAAGTAAAAAATAACAAGAAATATGAGTATACCACATTAAAATGAACATTTTTAATATAGCATTTCGTCGATAATATAGAAACCCCCTTTGCAAAATATCTTTAAAAAAAAAAAGCTATTTAACGAGTTTAATTTTCTTTTTATTTTGCGAACAATCAATGACGTTGTTGTTTTTATGAGACAGTCTAAAAAGTTTCTGCAGAATAAATATACTATTTACGTGCATGTTATATAGAATAAATAAAGTAGGAAAGGTGGTAAAAAATAGAAAGAAAAAATTGTAATGTCTTTAACACCAACGTCATCAATGGCGGCTTTCTTCCCTGATTAATATTCCTTTTTCTTCTTTAACATTGACGTCCACATCTTGCTTTAAAGGTCATCATTAACGTTTGAAAACTATTTTTTTTATTTTTTTTTTTTATGAATACGCATGTAAATACGTAAGTGCTTGGAAAAGAAAAAAAAAAAGAAAGAAAAGAAACAAATATAACGTTGGATTGAGCAAAGGTTAACAAAGAAGACCAATTGAAACCGAGAATGACACTGACAATCAATTGACATATTTTATTCAATGGATGACTTGATATAAGTTTCAAACTTTTTCCAAGATTCTTCTTAAAGTTTTCCAAAAAATGAATCTCACATTAAAATAAAAAATGTCGATAACTATTTATCGAATGATTTTAACGTTCGCGTTTTAAATTGTATCTAATAATAATTTTTATTGCGTGCCTTTTTTTGCCTTTTGTAAAAATTATCTCACCGAATATTAACCAGTCGACCTTGAAAAATAACTATTAATGTATAGGATCGAACAAGATATACTTCCACTTCTAATCAAATAAACTAAACTATAAATATCATTTATTTCTCATTTGTTTTTTTCTTGAGAATTATTTAATTACATATTTCCTCTAAATTGAATTATATATTTCAAAAAAAAAAAAAAAAAAAAGATTCTTCTTCTTTCCTCTTTTACGAAATATATTTATTACTTGAAAAAAACTTTCTGTCGTTCGAAATCCTTACAAATGTATTTAAACTTTAAATTTAAGTCATATATCTTCTTCTACCAATAAAAACACATAAAATCATAAAATAAAGAAAGAATCATATTGTTCATAAATTTACTATATATATATATATATATATATATGAGAATGTTATATAAAAATTTATTCTAAGCTATTATTTTAATTCGACATTGTATTGTTACACTAACAATCAATATTCTTTGCGTCAAAAATGCCAATTATTTTTGACAATATACCGTTTTATATAGAAAGATCAAAATAGATACACGTGAAAGTTGGAGAAAGAAAGGTTAAAAGAATTTGTAGAAGGACGACTACATTCTTCAACAGTGTTTTCGTCGATATACAAATGCATCCGAGAATCTCTCTCTCTCTCTCTCTCTCTCTCTCTCTCTCTCTTTTCTTTCTCTCTTTCGCTTGTGCAAGGATGGCGATTTTTTTTTCATCGACGCACAAAAACACATGCATCAAAAACTCATTCCCCTTTTTTCTCTCTCATTTTTTTTTTTTTTCTTATACAATGATAAAATGTTCTTATTAATATTATGAAATTGATATATATATATATATATATATGCGTGTAATATAAAATATAATTATTATTAAAGAAACTTATATATAGAAATATATCCAGTATTTGTTTTTTTTAAATGATTCCAGTTACTATTTATTGCACTTTTTATTATCATCGTTATCTCACATTATAATTTGTATAAATATTATTATATTAAAAAAGAGCTCACATATGTGTATATCATTCCTATCGATTTAAAATGAATTGGTTCGATATATATATTCCTATAAAAGATATAAAAAATTAATGAACACTTTAAAAAAGAAAAAAATTGAATTTTATCGAAAGAAAATTCGAACCTTTGAATATTACGAAAAATAATATATCTCTAATATAATATAATAGTTTCTATAAAAGTATGTCGGGTGGTAGTCTTCGACGAAATCATTTTGAAGAACGTTCTTCCTGGGATTTACGTAATTCGGCAAGAGCAAAAGCAACAACATCTACAGCAAAAGCAACAGTAATAGCAGCAATGGCAACCATAGCAGCCGGATCAACAGCTTTCACGTCTGTGCCATAGCGTCAGCGACCCGTTTCGTCTCCTCTCGTAAAATTTCTTTATGTGATATTTTCTCGTTCTTTAGTTTAACAAGTAACTGTGATAATACGATTAATTATTATACGAGATAATGATCTAAACAACATCCTTGAATATTCAAATGAAATATTAATAAAAGGTATTTAATGTACGGTTAAATATTACGTTTTTATCACCCGGTATATATCAAGTTTTAACTTTATCTAACAGGTGGTTTTATTTACGATTAATATTTAATACAATTTTGTATTAATATTTTATTCGTATATATTATGTGTGCACGCACGCGCGTGAAAAATTGACTATCGTAAAGTTATATTTTGTTTTTTCTTTTTTTTTTTTTAAGTACTCGTTTGGAGAAAAAGTTTCTTCGTATTTTTATTCAAAAGTGCAACTAGTTTTTTCTTATATTTGTAATATGGTATATATTATAATTATAATAATCTCGTGTGGAACTCTTGATTTCAAAAAAGTTTTCAGTAATTGGTTGACCAGAATGAGGTTAAAAACATATTGAAATATTAATTGAATAAATTAATATCAATCATACCAATGTCGTATTACGTATATAAATATCATTGAATTTTGTTTTTATTTTTAACAATCTAAGCCGCACTTTTCCCTTATTTTTTTTTATTACAAAAAAGAAAGATTTATAAACGTATCGAGAATCTTTTTTTTGTAATTTTAATTTTTATAACGCAATGAACTTTCAACCGATCAAACAAATATCACGGGGTATTTTGTTTTTTTTTATTATATTACTTCTATGACATGTATCACACGATGGATAAAACTTTCTTTGAAGATTGCACGGGAAATTACGTGACATTGCATAACACGTTTTATTTGTATGGAGAAAGGGTTAGTCACAAAAAAGAAAAAGAAAGAAAGAGAGAAAGAATATTATCGTATGAAAGGAATAAAGTTTCTTTCAATTTGCCAAACGCACAACTCCGGTAGTTGAATGCGTGCACTTCTTGGCAAACATTCAATTCAATTCATTTCATTAGACATCTCCTATTGTCAGAAACTGTTGTTCAGTTTTGATGTCTACACCCATATACACATAATCATACGTGACAAGATCGTTCTAACTAATACAATATAAAATTCTAAACGAATGTTCATATAAACGGAAAACTTTCGCTTTTGTTCGAGAAGATTAAACAAACGAAAATTACGATTTATATTAATTAATTTTGTTCGTTTAAATGTTTGACATTTTAAACGTGATTTTTATTTTTATTATATTATATATTATATTTAAATTATCAATTAA